AATTTCCTTCGGGTTACGACCAACTCGGGATACGCCCAGAGTCACGGAACGGATTAAGTTCGTATCCCGAGGTACCACTGTACTTGGATATTGATTAACTTGGAGGACAAACATACCTTTAGCAGACTAAACACTGGAACTCCATATATTCCAGAACAAATTATGTTATATTCCAGAAGGAAGAAAAGAAAAAAACTCTTAAATAAGTGCTCTGCATTTGAGTGCATGTCAATTCAGCCAAAGTCATTAGTTTTGTTTTATTTGGGGAGGACAAATAAGATAATTCAAACAGGTGGTAAAATGTCTGCACAATCTTTTAGTAGTATAGGCTGCTGTGTGTAACTGATAGAGTCCAACTATTTTCTTTTTTAAATTATTTGTTCAATGTTGTATGGACTTTTGTCCTCAATGGCCTTAGCACCTCAAGTAAATGTTTCTGCCTATCTGTCTATCCACCCACCCATTTGGTGAACTTTAAAAATGTGCTTTCTACCAATATAGTGCAGGTCTCTTTAAGTCAACTTGGTTCAGAAATTTCTACTTGGTCTACAAAAGTAAACCAACAAAGCTCTAGGCAAAATAGGTTAAAGTATCCTTGAAAGTTTCCCACGGCTATTTCTAACATGAAATGCTGGCATGAAATTTCCTAAAATAATACAAATCTTTGTTCAAAAACTTCTAACCCTAATCCAAACAAAGCCATAATACTTTTCAATTGATTATTTCAGATAATCTTTCTTTCAAATTTCATTTGATTAAACCTTCTGGCTTAAGGACAAAAAAGAATGGTGTCTTTAGAACTCATTCTTCCAGGGCCACCGTTTGACCCTCTTCCTAACTAATTTCTGACTCCCAATGCATTTGATTTTTTTCTTCTCTTAGTGAGCTCTAAGTGCATCTTCTACAGAATACAGACTGAAAGAAATGTCAAAAGCCCAGAATGGGGAAGTGTTTCTTGCTATCATCATGGCACACATGCAACCAAGCAGAAAAATGGGGAACACACAAAAAAGTTGCATCGTTATCCAAAGAGAAAGCAGACAAGAGGATGCAGTGCTGACAGCCAAAAAGAATGTGACTTCTTCCAAATCATGACTCAAACTATTTTAAGGGGTGCATTTAAAATATGGTAATTTACATGTCTTCAAAGTCTAATTCAGATTCATGAATGCAAGCATTAAAAAAAGTTAATTTGAAGCTCACCTATTGAAAGGAGACGCCATGTCACTGCAGGAGTAGCAAAACAAGCAAACACATCATCAGTGCAGCAGAAGTGGGTAAGGAATGGAAGAGTGACAGACTGTCCCCGGCACTGACCCCACATGTACACTTGGCTACCCTGGGTTTTAGCAGCAGAGGTATGAGTAGAGTGACATGCTGCAATCTCTACAATTCTAAATTTGAAAAGCAAATAAAAAAATCAGTAGTGTAAGGAGAACATGATGTGACTGACCATAGGAGTCATAAAGACTAAAGCATTTGACTCAATGCAAATCAGCAGCATGGCTTCCCTTTTGTGTTCCTAAAAGCCTTGTACATTTTGAAACATTGGAGCATCTAAATTCTTTGGTTTCTCTTAGGGCATTTATTTATTTATTTCATTCAATTTATACAGCCGCCCCAATATCCATGCATTTCTGGCTTACAGCAATGTAATCAGCATTTATCAGCATTTCTAGTTATACCAATGTGATGTGTATATTTGGATTACACTAGTGTGAGAAATACTGCTCAGCCCCAACTGCTGTTTGTCCCTGAGAGTCCAACTCATTAATGCCACTATACCTGGAATTTGCAGGGAGGCAGCAGGTTCCTTTCTTCAGGATTGTGCGTTTTTCAGCAGTGCTGGTTCCCACTATTCCTGGGATTCCAGCATCCCCAATTAATAATGGTTGCTACTTCATCTTACTACCAGTATGATGTCACATCCTGCTACAAGAAGCTCTTGAACTTGAATCAGATCATAGAGCTCTTAACCTTGAGCTCTATAATCTGAGAGCAGATCATACAAGGTTACACAGATCTAAAGCTCAAACAAACTCCAAGACATGACACAAGACCACTGTTCATACTTGTTAACAAGTACCTTCTACAGCCTGTCTATTGTACTTTACAAAGCTCAAACATGATTCTGAGCAATTCAATTTTGTTCTCTATCTGCCCAAGATACAGCTTGGCAAGATAAAGCAACTTCTTGAGGTACCAACTATGATTTGTCAACAGTATTCAGCCATAATATAAAACTAACAACCTGCAGTGATTTCCTTAACAATGGTAATCAGGGACTGGTGTTGCTAAGCAGTGCAGTCACGTGACATTGTGCTTTCCGACCACATCGCTTAGTGACAGAAATTCTGGTCCCAATTGCCATTGTTAAGCAAGGACTACTTGTGTTGAAAGACATTATGATCTTATCCAAGGCAAAATACAAAGCTGAAATAAAATTTGTCAAATGTCAATATTACATTAAAACAAAGAAAAACTACAGTAGTTTTTGTTCAATATGCCTGGAAATTTTTTCAACTCCAGAAAATAAGCTTGTTATCACCTTTACTTTATGCCAAATCAACACTAAAACAACTCTTATTTTAACAGACTTTTATTTATACTATTGCTTTTTAAGTTTTGTTTTAAAATCTATGATTCCATTCCTGATGTATTTTCTTTACTGCTATTTATATTGCTTATTTTTGCTTTAATCTTTTTTATTTAAGTATTGAGATAGCTACCCTTTGGATCATATGGGGATCCAATGTGGGATAAAAAGATAGAGCATAGTCTTGTACATAAATAATTACCAATTCACAAGAGACTAGTAACTGGTTCTGTACTGCAGAGCAGTTGGGAAGCATAGAAAACTACCAAAAGATATAACTTACACAACACTAAATGGCCCTTTTTTGACTGTCAGAAGCCCTTTTATGTGGGCGTGGCTGCTTTAGATTCAGACAGACAAACAATTCTGTAATAGGAGTTTTTTCTTATGTCTACTGATGTTTAAAGCCAGAAGCATTGTTACAGGCTAAAACTCTTCTGATTACTGAGTCATGATGAACAGAATTGTACCTGTCTTGATCTACTGTGACCGGCACAGGGTATGATTGGTTACTCCTATTGCCAGTTCCCAGCTGGCCATAAGAATTGGCTCCCCAGGCATAGACATGGCCTTCATCTGTTAAAACTAGTGTATGTGCATAGCCGCAGGCAATCTAGAAAAGAAAAAGAATTAGGTTCTTTTATTTGATGCTGTTCTTGCTGATTACCTGAAAAGATGGAAATATGCCCCAAACTATTTTAATACATTTTTTTTTTTTTTGGAAAAACATGAAATAAAAAGTAAAGCACGTCTGAATCGTTTTTTAAAAAATCAAAGACACTCATAAGGGCTGTGCCTAACTGTGAGGTACAGGGAGCTCCTTGACTCAAAAGCAGACGGGCAGATAACAAAACATGTAGGCTGATTCATTACCACCACCCAAGGGAGATCAGTCTTCCTTCCCAGCCCAAAAATAAGCAGGCCAAAATGTGGCCATCAGAGTGTGATGTTCCCATAATGCTGGGGAAGGTGCTAAAGAGGTGGCAGGGGCAATATTCAGGCCATGAACTAAGTCAAGAACCATGAATATATTTAGGCAGCAACTAATCTGCTAAATATTTGTCAGCTTTGTGCTGTCTACACTATACCATCTTGAGCTCCCAAACAAAAAGCATGATATAAATCAAATCAAAATAAATATATAGACAAATTTACTCTTCCTACTCATAACTTAATCTCCCCAATCTTTGAACAACTGGGGTTTCATAATGATAAGCAAGCTAAGTGGTGGGGAATGCAGTTGGGTTCTCAGACTGCTTGGGGGTTCTGTGTACTCTAATCTGACATGTTTATCTTTGTCAGTTGATTTTGGGGGGAGGAGTACAAATGCTATACCTGGGAT